AACTGACACAGCTGAATAAAGAAGTAGACAAATCTATTATTAGAGTTATAGACTTCAACATCCCCTAGTCCGTAGTTGACAAAGTGGTGAGAAAATCAATAAGGATGTAGTTGATCTGAACAGCATGATCAATCAACTTGCTCTAGTTGATCTTTGACTTAATTTGTAAACACTCCATTCAACAGCAGAACACCACTTTTTCTTCACATGGAATATTCACCAATAGAGATCCTGTTGTAGGCCAACAAATGAAACATAGAAAACGAAGAATGGAAATCATATATGCATGCTCTCAATGGAATTAAACTAAAAGTCAATAACGGAAATATAGATGGATACCCCAAACATCTAGAAATTACAAAGAATTCTTAAGAGAACAAAATGAAGATACAACATACTAATTTTGTAGGAGGTAGCAAAAACAGTGCTCACAGGGTAATTTCTAGCTTAAATGTGTATATGAGAAAAGCAGTTCTAAAGTCAAGAATCCAAGCATTTGTTTTGGGAAACTAGATAAAGAAGAGTAATTTAAGCCTATAGCAAACAGAAGAAAATATATAATAAGATTTAGAGAATAATTCAATGAAATTGTAGCAGGAAAAAAATTCCACAATATAAGAAGATAAATAAAATGGACACATCTCTTGCCAGACTATCCACAAAAAAGAAACAGAGGGCCCAATAGCAGAAATGGAAAGTGGAGTTCTCTCTACTGATCATAAGGACAGTATGAGAATAATGAGGGGATACTATAAACAATTGTATGCACATATAATTTGTTAATACAGATGAACTAGACCAATTCCTTGAATGACATTCAAGGTTTGGTTTCTCTACCAAAACACAGAAAGAGAAATAAATAACCTGAATAGCTTGCATCTATTGAATTGAGTCATTAATTAATAACCTTCCAAAGACAGAAATCTCCAGGACCATAAGGTTTCACCAGTGAATTATACCAAACATTTAAGAAAGAAATAATACCAATTCTCCACAATATGTTACATAAGATAGAATCAGAAAGAACATTTCCAGACCTATTCTGTGAGGCCAGCATTACCCTAATTCCCAAACCAGATAAAGACATTGCAAGAAGAAAATTACAAGGGTTGGGGATACAGGTCAGTGGTAGAGTGTTTGCCTAGCGTGCACAAGGCCCTGGGTTTGATTGCCCAGCACTGCAAGAAAACAAGAAAGGAGAACTACATATTAATATGTGCCATTAAAAAATACAAAAATCTTCAATAACATATTGGAAAATCAAATCCAATAATGTATTAAAATTAGGCAAGACTGATTCAACATTTAAAATCAATGAATATAACTCACCACATTAGCAACCTAAAAGACAAAAAACCATATGACCATATCACCTGATGCAGAAAAATCATTTAATAGAATCCAACACAAATTCACCATAAAAGCACTCAACAAACTAGAATTAGAGAGGAAGTTCCTCAATTTGATAAAGAACATCTCCAAAATTTTGTGGCTAACATAATAGTTAATAGTGACAAAGTAACAATTTTCACCTTGAGGTCCGGAATAAGAAAGATGTGGATGTCCTTTTCCATTGCTCCCATTAAACATAATACTGGAAGCCCTAGCTAGTGCAAAATGAAAAAAATGGAAACACACACACACACACACACACACACACACACACACACACGAAAGGAGGAAGTAAAATATCTCTATTCGCAGAGAATGTGATTATCTATGTAGAAAAATGCCAAAAACCTGACAAACTCCTGCTTGCAAATACCCAGGATGAAGGTTAATGTACAAAAGTCAACTGCTTTCCTTTATACCATCAAGGAGCAATTGAAATTTTAACTGGGCACCGGTGGTACATGCCTATAATCCTAGCTACTTTCAAGGCTGAAATCTGGAGGATCACAGTTCACGGTCTGCCTGGGCAAATATTTCGAGACTCCTCCTCTCTCTAAAATAACCAGAGCAAAATGGACTGGAGGAATGGCTCAAACAGTAGAGTGCTTGCTTTGCAGGCACAAAGCCTGGAATTCAAACCCCAGTCCCACCAAAAAAAAAAAAAAAACATTTATAATAGCACTTCCCAAATGCAGAACAGGAGAAAAGATCTTTATATATTATAAATATATGAAACAACCTCACTGGAAGGGATGGGGGAATAACATGCCAACACAGATAAATTTGGAAATGAATGGAGTCTGTAAGATCCAATCCAAAGAAACTGTACATAGCACTCCAATTGTTAAGGTAGTTTCAGGTTAACACTTTGGAAACCCTTCATATGCAGACTGGAATTTAACAAAGCAGATGATGGACAGAGGGAGACAGATTTTTCACAGTAGGAGTAGAAAGTTACAGATAAACCAGGGAGACTAGAATGATCTGTGCAATATTGATTGCAGTTGAAGACACCAGTATAAATGCATGTTTAAATTTATATAGATACAGATGGTTACATATAGGAATGCTTGTGTTTGTCTTTTATTTTCTTTATAAGCATAAGGGTATATACATACACAAATACACAGGTTGTTATATATGCATGTATATGCTTGTTCTGTTAACTGAGAGCCTAGAAGAAATGATATCCATATAGCAATAAGTATGCTTAGCAACCATATCTTCATTTAAAAAATACCATTATCCAACAAAAGATATCAGGCCTCCTTGGAGAATGGTTGGCTCTAGGAATTGGACAGGAAACATGCAAGACAAGGCTAGAAGATCTTTTAATTTTTTGAGACAAGTTCTCATTATGTATCCCAGGCTGACCTCAAACTTGTGATCCTCCTACCTCAGCCTTAAGAGTGTTAGGATTACAGATGTGTGCCGCCATGTCCAGCTAGGGCATCTCTAGTGCCAGAAAGTACTGAAAAACCCACAATACAGTGATAAAGAATGAATGGATCGAGGAGCTAACTGGAAGAGCTCCCAATGGTCAATATAGAAATTATTTGAGCAATAAAATATGTAAACTAGTATTACATTATAATCCAAATTATAAAATAAATATAAATATTCATGAGTCTGTGCTTATATAAATAAATTGAATAGATAAATGGAGAAGAATCAAATATCCTGTGCTGAAGCATTCCAAATAATTTTTGTGGTCTGCCATCAAGGAGGTGGAGCACAGTGCCCCTCTCTTTAAGTGCAGTTAGGTAACAGTGACTGTTTCAAAGGGTACAGTGTGGAAAGGGAGAAATAAAACAGTAATGTCACTGTGAAGAAACCTGATAAACACTACTTTATCCAGGTGACCATATTAACATCAATAGTGTCAAGAAATATTGATAATGTGTACCCTTTACGTATTTGAGGAGAATGGCATTTTATCTCTGATTTTCTTCCCCCAAACTCATAAACTCCTGTATAACCACAAGAAAAAAATAAAGCAAACCAAAATTGTGGAACATTAAATACCCAATCAGTAGTTCTCAAAAGTGTCAAGATAAAGAAAAAAATAAAAACAGGGAAAGTCTGAGAAAGTCTCACAATCAAGAGAAGGGGCCTTAACAGAAGTGATGACTAAATGTAATGTGGATGGGATCCTGGCATAAAAGACATCAGGGAGTGGAATCTGAATAAAGTATGTATGTTAGTAATAGTGGGTCAATATTGGTTCATTGTGACAAATGTACTATCCTAATGTAGGAGGTTAATAATAGGGGATACCTGGGATGGAGTGTGTGGAAACTGTGTGTTACTTTTGCAATAACTCTCTAAACCTACAAGTGTCCCAAAACAAGTTTGTTAAAAATCATCAAGCCAAGCACAGGTCTATAATCCTAGCTACTCAAGAGGCAGAGATCAGGAGGATTGCGGTTCAAAGCCAGCACCAGGCAAATAGTTCATAAAACCTTGTCTGGAAAATATCCAACACAAAAAAGGGGTGGCAGAGTGACTCAAGTGGTAGAGTGTCTGCCTAGCAAGCATGAGGCCCTGACTTCAAACCCCAGTACTGCCAAAAACATCATAAGCAAATAAAAGGCTACTGAATAGACAGGGGAAAAATCACATAGTGTAGATGAGTCTGTTGAAATGGTGAGGCAGGGTTTGACAGGAATTTCCTGGGAGACAATTCCTAAGAAAAAGTGCACACAGATAAGAGATAAGAGATTAAAAAGTGAGAACACCTAGTCACTCGGATTTTTTTTCTGTTTCCACCTCCAGGATCGAAATCCCAAGGAACCAGCTATATGTAACACACACACGCACACACGCGCGCACCACACACACATGCATATGCACACACACTCACACTCCTGGGAGTCTATGAAGTTTATAAATTATCAAGACCCAAATGACAAATGGGTACTGGGTTAAGACAGGTCTATTGTAGTTAAAGAGGGATTCTCTACTCTGTTAAGACACAGTGTCGCTTTACTTCATCATAGTCTCCACTTCATCTTCAGCAGTAGAGACCTTAGGGGCACGGGATCCATGAAGATTCCAGGAGACATGGCACTACTGAGGGGAGAGTGGCACTCACTTCTCAGATACCTGGACTTATTCCTGGGCACAGGTGAGACCTCCCTCAGTCGTCCCCCAAGTGTCTGACTAGGTACTGGTTCTGCTAGTGAGGGAAGAGGGTAAGAGCCAGCCCAGCCCACCTAACACACCCAGTACCTAATTTTATCTTCTTCACAGCCCTGGAAGGCTAGTTTTATCCCAAATTCACAGATGACAAGCCTATCCCTAACAGCAGTGGATCTGTAGTAATTGTTATGTTGCTTCCTCTAACATGTAGCACCAGAGGAAATGCAACTTTTACCCATCACTTTATATCCTGAAAGCAAGAATTTTAAGTGTCTCCATTGCATTTAATAAGCTCACTGGATAGTTCTTTTGATTGCTTATTTATTATTTTCTTGTTTTTATCTTTTATTATTTTATGACAAAAGTAATCTTTTTAGGAGACAATGGACAGATGAACAAAAGAGAACAGAAAAAAAAATCATCCACAGGTAACCAGTTAATCATTTAGGGAACATCATAAGTTTCAGAGTTGTTTTCCCTACATAATAGATTGAGGAAATTTAATTTACAAAGGTGGGTTGATGCCATGTGTAGCTCTGCAAGTTAATTTTACAATGCACTATAAACATTTTTCCATGCAAAAAATGAAAATCTACCACTGAAATTAGAAGGCTGCAGCTGTGTGGACAGGGCTGCTGGTTAAAGCAGGGTTACCTAAAGCATTTGCATAAGGTTAAAACACAGGGCCTGGCAAATGCCTGCCAGGGGCACTACACATAAGGAATGTCTTCAATGTCCTTTCGTGGGGCCCTGCAGCCACCCCTGAATTCCCGTGGGCCCCTTGGGTAGAAGGGGTCTTGTAAATTTCTTTGCATCCAAAATAAACCTCCAAATTTCTGCTTGATTTTTCTCCTGTCATCCTTTACCTTAGCCATATTGTCAAATTCTCTTATCATATCCTCATTGCTGAGATTCATATCATGTATAGCCTCTTTATAGTCCTTAAGGTACTGAGCCAGCCCCTTGTTGGTTTTTCTTTTGGCTTTCTTGGGTATGTCACCCTCAGCAGGGCGTTTTATGGCAGCCCTTATTTCACACTCTGGCTTTCCCTCTTTGGGCTCTCCCTCACTCTCTGGCTTCCCTTTCTCTTTTGCTTTTCTCTCATTCTCTGGCTTTTCCTTATCCTTTAGAATGTCCTCATCTTTTACTTTTCCCTCATTTTCTAAGGTTCCCTTGTCCCTCAGAGAACAAACTACTTCTGGCTTTCCCTCGTCCTGTGGTTTTTCTTCATGTTCCATCTTTCCTTGGCTGGAAATTACTCCTTCATTTTCACTGTGGAGTTCTTCCATGTCCTGATTTCTCTCTTTTTCCTGTCCTGGAGGAAGGGACAGAGGGAGGAGGAGACAAAGAGGAGATAAGGGAGGCTGAGGGCACAGGGGAGGAACCAGGTTCATTTAGTGTTTGCATCTGGCCCTTGTGAGGGGTCCTCTAAGCTGGCCCAACCCTCCGAGTGCGCCTTCTGCCTACTCCTTACCCACATTCCCTCCTCACATGAGAGCCACCCATTCCCAGGCATGCCCTGCTGCCTTCTCCATGCTCCTTCAGAGGGGCAAGGTGTGTGCATCACATGTGGGGATGGAGCCAAGCAGTGGAGCCCAAATCCTGCCCTGGCCCTGCCCTCTGCACTCTCAGCCCTCCAGGGTTCCTGTCTGTGCTGCTCCCTTCCACTGACCTGCAGGGACTCTGGGCAGGTTGCTCCTCCTTCTTAGGCCTCACAGAGCACTGCTAACAACAGCCGCACAGACCTGCAGACAGAGAGGACTCAAGGGCACTCACTGCACACTTAATGGACTCGCAGGGACTGGGTCCCTTTCCTGAATCCGGGCGCTGGTCACTAAGCCTTTCCCAGCGCTCCCCTCCTTCATCCCCCCGCCCCGCACCCCAGCCGCCATTTCTTTGCAGGCCTTGGACACTAAACCTGGATGCTTTCTTAACTGTCTTTGGGTCTGTGTGTCCCCCTCCCTCCCCAGAAGCAACTGGCGTCCCCACCTTTGGAGTCAACATTGTTCTTGATGCACAGAATGGCAGAGCACTGTTATTCACACTGTCTTATTGCTGGAGCGTCTCCCAGCTCACCATCTCCAATTCCAAAATGGACGGAGGGCAGAGGAGTGGCCCGAAAACAGGCGTGGACACTTGGGGTACCTGCCTTCTCTACCCTCTGCCCACCGGCTGCTTTCTCCCCCTCAGGCACAGGTTCCCCGCTGCTATCTCTACCTGCACTCCAGCCAAGTTCCCTGGACCCGAGCCCCATCTCTACCCTTTCACTGTATCATATCCGCTCCCGCTCTCCCTCCGCATCCAATGTTCCCTTCTGCAGGCAGCATGGAATGCGCTCACACTGACCTGAAGGAAGCCGGCACAATGATTAGGAGCCCAGGGACCAGAGAGATGGCTCTGCACCACAAGCTAGGGAGCGAGGGCAGGCACTGCAACTGGCAGGTCACGTGAGCATCCAGCACCGGAGTCCGCCCCTCCACACTCACCTACTACTGGCCTCTGCTTGCCACCCTCCTCCTCTCTTGATCAGGGACCCCTCGCCAGTCTGGGCCCTTTTGTCTTTTTCCCCTGTTTGGGAATTTGACCAGAGAGGGAATTTTGATAAAGACCACAAAGAGTTTTTTTTTTTTTTTTAAATGAGTTGGGCCATCTGTGGGAGGAGTCTTGACAAAGGTGCTTTAAAATGCCCTTGCAGGAACACAGAGGGGGTCCAATTGAATCCTAGAAATGTAAACTTACATATTGTATGGAGAGTAGAATATTGCACTTTCAAAAAATCAGAATTTTCCCCAAAACAACGACACGTTTGCTTTTCCCTGACATGCACAAATTTTGTACTGAATTAAAAATTATTATATTTGAGCTGAATAAAATAATTATTAATTTATATTAAATGAGAAATCGAATATGCAGTTTTCACTGTAAAGGACTTTCACATCTTTAGGTTGATTCCTATGTATTTTTAAGCTATTGTGAATGGAATTGAAAAACTCTATTATCTTTAGACTGAAAATGCTAGCCTCTTTCTCAGTGGTTTTTCCACAAGAGGGGAGGACCATCCTTTCCTACCCTAACCAGACAAAATTCGCTTGCATGTTTATAGAAAGGAATTATTTACTTTGCTCTAACTTATACAGCTTACAGAGTTATAAAATAGCTCAAATAGAATTAAAAGATCTCCAAGAATATAATATTGATAATACAATTTTTCCTTTAAAGAACATTTTTCTCTATAGTCTCCATAATAAACATTGATCTCAAAGTATAATTATTCTTGAGCAGAAAATAAGGATGAACTCATTAGATTTGCTATTATTATTTACATAGGTTAAGCAGGAATGCTAATTTAATACATTGCCATTCTTTAACTTTCTTTGCTGAGAATTTTCAAGATTATCATATTGGAATTTTTATTGTGGTAAAATATACATAATATAAAATTTATCATAGAAATCATTTTTTGGTAAATGATTTAATTACATTAAATATAATCACATTGTGGGTATGACTAGCCAGGGCTTTATAGACAGACTCTATCTCAAAACAAAAAAGAATAACAAAAAACATTCACATTGCTATGCAACATCATATATCTCCAGACTTTTTCATTTTTCAAATAGAAACTGTACCATTTTTGGTGGCACTGGGGTTTGAACTCAGGGCTTACACACTTGCGAGGGAGGTGTTCTTACTGCTTGAGCCACTCTGCCAGCCCCAAACTGTACCCTTGAAACACCTAACTTCATGTTCTGTTCCTGCAACCCCTGGTAACCACCATTTTGCTTTCTTTCTCTATGGATCTGACTACTCTAGGTGTCTCATATAAGTGGAATCATATAATGCAGTATTTGTCCTTTTGTGTCTAGTTTATTTCTCTTAGCATATTAGCTTCAGGTTCATCTGTGTTGTAGCATGTGTCAGAATATTATTTTTATTTTAAAGCTGAATAATATTCCACTGTATGCATATTGTACATTTTATTTATCCATTCATTTTTTGGCTATTGTGAATGATGCTTCTGTGAGCATTGGTGTGCAACATCTATTCAAGCCCCTGCTTTCAATTCTTTTTGGGTATGTACCTAGAAGAAGAATTGGTGGATCATATACTGTTTGCATGTTTAATTTTAAAGAATTGCCCTACTGTTTTCCATAAAGGATACACTATTTTATATTCCCACGAACAATGCACAAGGGTTCTAATTTCACTACATTCTTGCCAGCACTTGTAATTTTGTTTTTGTTTTGTTTTGATTTTATAATAGCCATCTTGACAGATGTGAAGTCATATCTCATTGTGGTTTTGATTTGTATTTCCCCAATGATTAGTGATGTTGAATATATTTTCATGTGCTTATTGTGATCTGTATATATTCTTTGGAGAAATAGCCATTCAAATGCTTCCCCTATTTTGAAATTTTGGATTTGTTGTGTTTTGAAGTTAAGTTATAGGAGTTCTTTGTACATTCTGGATTTAAATTCCTATGAAGATATATGACTTGAAAATATTTTCTCTTCTTTTATGGGTTACCTTTTCACTGGGTTGATAGTGTTCTTTGATGAGCGAAAGTTTTTCACTTTGATGAAGTACTACTTAACTTTTGTGGCCTGTCCTTTTGGTATCATATACAAGAATTCATTACCAAATTCAATGTCATGAGTTTTTTTTTTTTTTGTGGTGGGACTGGGGATTGAATTTAGGGCTTTGCACTTGCAAATGAGGTGCCCTACTGCCCCACAACTCCAGTCCATTTTTCTCTGGTTATTTTGGAGATGAAGGTCTCATGAACTATTGCAGATTGGCCTTGAACTATAATCTTCCCCGTCTCAGCCTCCCCAGTAGCTGGAACGCAGGCACTGTCATAAAGCTTTTATCTTGTGTTTTCTTCTGAGAGCTTTATCATTTTAACTTTTTTGTTGAAACTTGGATCTATTTTTAGTTAATTTTGTATATGGTATAAGGGAAAGGTCTAACTTTATTCTTTGGCATGTGCGTATCCAGTTTTCCTAACTCATTTGTTGAAAAACTGCTTTTAACTCATTGAGTAGTCTTGGCACTTTCACAAAAAATTCAATAGGTCAATTAATAAACATTAATAAACAATGAGCTGGGCTCTTGTGGAGAACATGGCAGCCTTCTGTGAAGCTGTTTTTACACCACTTCCTACTTGTTTCACTCATCAGAGTTGTTCATTGCCTCCTAGCTTCTGATGAGGTGTGACTCTTTCTGTCTCACTCCTTTGGGGTGCAGCTGCAGGCTGTAAGACTGTTTAGATGCAGAACAGTCTCAACTCATGAGAAACAGGATATTCCATTATCCATGTTGCAGTCATTTGAAATGTTTTGTTTTGACCAATGCAAAGAATTATAAGAACTATTACATCTAGCTACTTAAACTTTCAATGTCTATGTAAGTAACAAACTCTCTGAATCTAAAAAGAAGGACTCATTGTTTTGTTAGTGAACAAATCTGTCCCTTTTTTAATTGACATCCATTTCCACAGGCTTTAAGACTGTCCTCATTTCTTTCTTTCTTTTTTTTTTTTGAGGTGGAAATAAAAACTAAGATTATGTTTAGGAAATGGGAATTATAAAGTTTGGGAACTTACATAAAACAGTCAAAATTATACTCATGAACAAATTCAAAACCATGAATATTTTCAGAATTACACACAACATTAAGATGCATAAATTAAATATGTAACATTAAACTTAGGCTATATATATCATATATTGTATATATATCCTATATGTGTATATATATGTGATTGAAAGAACAAAATAGTATATATCACACACCATAGCTCAAATGAATAATTTGCCAACTACTGTAAACAAATCTGCCAAAATATGAAACATCATAGTGAAGCAGTTGAAATTCTGAGAAGATAAAAAGTTATTGTGTTAAGATATTAAAAACATATCAAAGAATTGTTTCTCAAAAGTTTTAGTCTAGACAAATTTTCAATGAGTAAGTGATTTCTATAATATTCATGTGACTCAACATAAGTAAATAAGGTACAATTGTAGATTTCATTTTGTAATATTGGCAGCTGGTGTAATCTTATACTAAAATAGTAACATTAACTCAAAGACTATTGACCAAAAAACTAAATTCAAAGGTGAATGAAATAAATCATCTTCAAAAACAGGTGGAAGTTTCTTTCAAATGTATGTGGCTTAATCATTTACATGGCATATTATAACCAGGACCTATTGTTCATCTGAGATGATAAAATAGTTCGTGATAAAATTCAGAATTCTTCATAAAAACTCAGAGGAAGCCGAGATTAGGAGAATGCTTATTCCCAAGAGTTTATAAAATGCTAGAACATTTCTACTTATGTAAGAATATTGTATCTGCTATTAGAATTATTTAAAAATTGTTCCAAATGCAACAGCATTTTCAGTAACACAAAAGTATGAAAGTATATAAAAGATATAAAATTCTTATTATTTGTAGAATATGTGTCTGAGACACCAAAAAAATAGATGGGAATCTTTTAGAATTAACACTAAATTTGCAAGACACAAGATATATACAAATCAATGCCATGTATGAATGTTAAAAATGCATAAATATTCATTCTTGAGTTAAGTCATATGTTAAACAGTTTTCTGATCAAAATACCAGTCAAATTTCACAAAATTAAAATAAATTTTATATGAAAGACTAAACATACTACAACAAAAACAATTTAAAGGTGTTACATATCAACAGAATGGAATAAACAATGCTGGGATACATTCTCACAAAATAATTTGATGGAGGACAAAGTGAACTTCTGGAGAAAGGATGGCTTAGTTAATGAGGTTAAAATAATTGTTGGCTTACTTAATGGGGTTAAAATAATTGTGTGACTAATTGGAGCAAATTTCAAGTGAGACCTTCACTGTATCTAATATCCAAATATAAATTCTTAATCATTTGAAGAGTGAGAAGTTAGAAAGAAAAATTGGAATAACAAAAAATAATAATAAATAAAATATGGGCAAATATTAAATTTTGATGTAAGAAAAATTTTCAACATTAAAAGCAATTGAGTAAATCATAATAATTTAATCACATAAAGTTTAATTCCATAGAGGTAAAAGTCTAAAAATATAAAAAAGAAGGCATGACAACTCTTTCAAAATATTTAAATAAACATAAAATTTCATTGATGATATTATTGTCATCTGAAAAGCTATTCAAAATAGTATGAACAAAAATTCCCATCAAAAGATGGACAAACAATGTGAATAGTCAATTCACCAAAGTGGAGACACACATGATAAGTAAGAAAAAATGACATCTCAACCTGAAATTAAATAATTGCAGTTTATGCAAGAGATCACTTTTAGTGTAGCACATTGGTCCTAATGTAATGTGTC